GAGTGTGGCAGGCAGCACAGCAGCACAAATAGGCTCAATTGTGTCATTGCCAAGCTATGCAGCATAGCTCCAACAGGATTTTGGCCTAAATGTTGTTGTGTTACAGCTCCCATCAACCCTAGTCAGTACGGACAGTGGTCAGGGACAATGGGAGTTGCAGTCTGTTGCCTTCTGTAAGGCCACACTTTTTTGTTCTTGACAAAATGGGATATATTGGCTGCTTATCTTCTCATGTCTTTCTCTGTGTGTGTGCAAGTCATGCAGAGTGTCTAGTTTGGAAAGATTCAGTGCCATGCATTATTTGCCCTGTTCACAGAAGCAAGCAAAAAAAAAATGGCAAAAAGCATAAGGAGCAAGTGGAAAAGGAAGATGCGAGCAGAGAAGAGAAAGAAAAATGCCCCCAAGGAACTGGCCAGATTGCAGAGCATCCTGAAAACAAACAGTGATGTTGTGATGGATGAGGTGAAAGAGATTGCAACAGTGGTTCCTGCTGAGAAGGTCACAGAGAAAAAGGATCCAGGAAGTGAGTTGGACTATTTTTAGATTTTGTTCAAAGAGTGCAGGAAATGGACTCGAAAAATGGTGAAATTAATGTTACACGCTTTTCCTGGTAATGCCTTCAGCCTTTCATTCTTTTGATGCTACTTTTCCACATTTTTATTTGCTTTGCAAGTATTTTGACACCTTCCTTACAGATGTTCTGCCTCTAGTCATATATAAATGTGGCAGCTTCTCTCACCATTGTCCAGCTGCATAAAGCTTTGCAGTGTTCCAGGTTAAATATTTATGGAGTCAACAGGCTGTGCTCTCACAGGTGCATTTAGATTTGTTAGTTCTTTATCTGCAGCTGCTGGATATGGGACAGAACAATATAAGGAAGCAAGACCTATGCTGAACAGGCTGAGCATCTACAATTAGACACAGGAAATGAAATTTGCTTGTGAAATATAAAGGTGGCTTCCCAGAACAGACCAGTCATCCCATTCCCTTACTCCTACTATTCCCTATTTTTTGTACTAGCTTCCTTTCTCTTTTCTGAGCAGATATTGTCTTTAAACAATGCATACATCTGCTTGCTTATTAGTTCTTTTCCCAATTATTCATTGTCTTGCCTGTCTAAAGAAAAACAGAACTAGTCTATACTTAGTAGTGTAGCATCTTTGTATTAGCGTTTAGCTCTTTGTTAGCTTCAAATTAATTAATCAAGTTGTAGGTAGCTGGTACATGTAGCTCACTTTATTCCTTCTTTTTCCAGATGGAAGTAAAATGGATGTGGACACCAAAAGAAATCAAAAGACTCTTCTTGATCAACATGGACAGTATCCAGTATGGATGAATCCTAGACAGAGGAAGAAGTTTAAGGCAAAGCGTGTTAAAGGAAAAAATAAGCACAAAACGCCAAAGGGATTAGCATGGTAGTGTTTGGATGAATTTTAAGAAAGAGAAAAGAGACTCAATTAAAAAAAAATCAAATATTAAACTGATTTACATCTCACCCAGGGGAGAATTTTCTGTTTTCTTGATTCCTTGGTATTTAGTTGTTTAATAAATTTAATATTCATTGTACATGTTATACAAGTTGGAACACTGTCAAACTAAACAGAAAGTTAAGTTCAGTGTTGTGATCTTGTGAATTGTGATTTAACAAACCACATGCATGTGTCTTCTGTAGAGATTGATTGAGTATTGGTTTAGCCATAGTGAGAACAATCCAATGAAAGCTAGTGAACTAAACTCTTTCAGAACTCAGTTGCCCAGCCAAATGCCTTAAGTACAGCTGATTTTAGCTTCCAAAGGAGTAGTTATGCTCATTATGTTAGCAAAAATAACAAAAGTTTGGATCTACTCCCAACAAGAGTAGATCTGTTCAATCAGTGAAGTTTACACAAGTGTTGGCGTACAGTTCAGGAAATGACTTAATAGGTCTACTATAGTTGGACTAAGAGATATAAGTTAAAGAAAGGTTTGTGCCACCTTAAAGTCTGTGAAATGTATCACAGCATAAGCTTCACGGACTAATTGTAGCTCATGATTGCTTATGCTATAATAGAAATGAGATAATCTTAAATGTGCCACAGTATTCTTTGGTACAGATTCCACTAAAGCGCAGTCACAAGTAGAGGTGGGCATGAACTGGAAAACCGGTGGATTCATTATGGTTTGCGGCTAATTGCAAACCACCACAAACCCCCAGAAAAAAATGACTGGTTCATGCATGGGGGCTACCTTCTGCCGCCGCCTCTCTGCTGGCACAGGCTGAGAGGCAGCAGCAGGCTCCATGCAGGGAAGCTGGGATGCTGCTTCTGAAGATGGTACCCACAGTGGCAACGGCAGGAGCAGGTAGGCCAAAGGCGATGGGGGCAGTGGGAAAGGGGTGGGCAGGCATTCCAGTTTGCCAAAGCAAAGGAAACACCAAAGGGGAAAAAGTTAGATGTTTCATTTCAGCAAAACATGATGCCCAAACTAGGTTGTGAAACAAACCACAAACCAGCTTGGTTCATCCCGTTTTTGGTTCATGGTTTTTTTGTGTCCATCTCTAGCTATAATTAATTCACTGGACAGATCTCAAGACAAACGATGTTCACTTCAGCCTTCTTGCTTGTACAATAGAAAAATTCAAATAATGCTTGCAGAATTATGCCTGTTTAGGGACTGTAGCTGATTTTCATAGTTCATTTTGTACCTCTGCTAATATTTAGAATGTATCATGTTAATGGTCCAGGACAGGTGAAATCTATGGATTTAACTCACTTGTGGCTGTGTTGGATTGTGGCCATTATCTGCATTTACATTTGTGGGTGATCTTCCTTTTAGTGTTATGAACAGGCACGAATCAAAACAGGTGCCTTTAAGTCCCATTACTTACAGCAGGCAAGATCCTAGTATGTATTCTACAGCCAAATCTTTTGCATGTTCACTCAAGTTCTGTGAAGTTGGAAAGAATTTATTTCTAGGATTCCAGAGGACAGCTTCATTCCTTCTTGAAATCTGGTGGCCTTAACACCTTCAAGTTTTTACACAGTAAACCTTGTGGAATTCTGTAGATCTTACCTCTGAATAGGCAGGCCTAAGATTTTATTGCTTGGTTAGAGTGCTAGGTAAACCTTCTTTAGGAAGAAGTATCACAGATCTTAGTTGGATTTGCAAATACATCAGCATAGGATTTGACTCTCACATAGACAGATTTAGTTGGATTCCACTCTAAGGCTTAAATCCAGTTGATAGTTCCAGCTAAGATAGTGATGATGTGCCGTCAAGTCAATCCTGACATGGTGACCCTTTTCAGGCATTTCCAGTAGAGAATACTCAAGTAGCTTACTATTCCATTTTCCTGGGGGCACCCTAGGACTATGCAGCTTGCCCAAGGCCACATAGGCTGGCTCTGCTTATAGGACAGTGGGGAAATCGAACTCCTATAACATTTGGCTCCACAACCAGATATCTAAACCAGCATTCCAGTTAGAGAAGACCTATTGAATTAGTGAAATTTGCTTAGGTGTTGACTCACTAGTCTGCAGATGATTTAATGGGCCTACCCAACCAAATTCAGTCTTTATTTTGGGACTAATTTTTGGATTTATACATTCATGGTAATTGAAAACTACAACAAAGAAGCAAATCAAACAGCCATGGCCAAACTTAAAATTGTGTCAGTTATTGGCAAGTTATGCACAGTAGTCTTGGAAAAAGTGAATGTGGAATGTAGCTAGGAGAGAGTGGTTTTGCTTCTGTATGAATAAATGGTTTAACAGAATTCCTTAGATGTTGATGGAACTGTCATATAGGCACAAGAATAGAAAGAACAAATCTCTTTTACATGTTATACCTGCAAAGAGGGTCCATCAAGAATAGGGCTGTGTTAGTGCCCCTGCACCTGATGTTGGCTGGCCAGGCTACTCTCCCCCTCATTACCTTTGCCCATTGAGCATGGGTGTTGGGTACACTGTGATCACCGTATCTCTGTCCTTTCATCCACATGGATAAGAGGCCTCTGGTGGGTACTTTTTGCCGGGACCTGCTGTAGAAATGTCTTCGTATCATGGAACACTTGATGAAATAGGCTTGTCCAGGCGCCAATAAATTAAACACAGCCTGCTTGATGGTACTCTACTCCCTTGTATATGGAGAAAAATGGTAAACAAGCAAGAAGTTATTCTGTTGATTCATGTGATGTATTATTTTAATTGCATGTAAACATTTCCAGATATGTCTTCATTAAGACAGAAGCAAGGGAATGATGTTGACATTTTTATTTTATGTATGTATACAGGCAATCTTCCTTTGGGGCCAGTATGGTCAAACATCAGACATGTTCTGATAAGAAACAAAAGTGTGAACAGAAGTGTTTCTGAAATTTAAGTGCAGTGGAATCATTGCTGTATTAAAATCCATTAATGGCTGGATTGAACAGAAGCATTTTCAACACCCACCAAAAACTTGACAGAAATGGGGCCAGTATAATTTTATAGTGGGCAAAACTACTCCATAGGCAGGATGCTATCACAGTGGGGGAAAAACATGTCCCACATTCCTGTCTGGGGTCTGTACCTTTCTCCAGTGTATAATCCAGTTTTCAGTCTTGCAAATGTTGTGCAGGCTAACACTTGTGTGTGTGGTGGCTAAATAAATTGCCAGCAGATTTTGCTTTGCTGGGGCTACTACTGAGAGCATACCTATAAAACCCCTGGTTCAAAGAGGAATTCCTAGTAAACACTAGGAATTACAAGTGTTAAATCTTTGGTGACCAGATGTTTGCAGCTGAACTCTTGCTTGCAGGATGTAAGCACTGTGGCATCCTGCAGCTGTTTCTCAGAAGTGCAGTGCTTCTGATAGTGAAATATATAGCTGTCATGGCTGGTAGGCATTTAGAATCTTTCTCTCCCATAACTTTGATTAATCCCCTTCTGGTTGGTGGCCCTCACTACATTCTGTAGTAGCCAATTCCATCGTTCATGCACTGTGTAAAGAAGCCCATTTCCCCTTGTGTGCATTTTCCACTATTCATCTCTAGTGCTCTCCAGGTTCTGCTAAAAAAAACTGATCAGCGTTGAGTATGAATAAGTACAGTAGTACCTCGGTTTACAAAATTAATCCGTCATCTAGGACGTTACGTAGTGCAGAAATTATGCAAACCAGAATGCGGATTGCCGTAGAAACGGGGGCGGTGCTAGAAACCTTCAGCCGTGATGCATCCTTTTTGTACAATGAAAAAAAAACCCATAAAAACATAAAAAGAGGCATTATTTCTCATGGATTTCGATTCGTAAACCGAAAATAAGGTAAACTGAGGCACGCCTGTTGTGTGTTGCCCTCTTACTTGCTCCAGATTGCCAGGACACTCTTGCTTTGAAGTGCATTATGTTAATCAGAGAAGAATGCACCGTTTCTGCCCAGCCATTTTTTAATAGTGGTCCTTGCCTGTCTGGTAGGGCCAGATGGAAATAAAAACTTGGTGGTACATTGATACTAGTTACCAGTGTGTAATTATTACCTTCAGCACATTCTTTGTAGTAACAAGCCTTGTTAATAATAATAATTGTTTGTTAGACTGGAGGGTTCATACGTAATGCTCGGTTGATCATATGTATAAATACATTTTTTAATTTAAAATAATTTTACCCCATCTTTCTCCTAGCCGGGATCCAAGGTGGTTTATAATATTGAAAAAAGTATACAGTGTCAAACAGTATGAAAGCTAAAAATAAATTATTACAGTATTAGAAAACAAACCAATAATTCCAGTGTTAAAAAAGAATTAAATAGCAGATGAAAGACTCACAGATGAAAACAGTACTAAAAACACTAAATTACAGCACTAAGCAAGCAAATCAATATGTTATTACAGTACAGTAGGCCTGCAGTATCTGCTGGGGACCAGTTCCAAGAGAAAGGTCTTGGTCCTCTTGCAGAGGGACAGCAGAGATGGGGCCTGCACAACAGAGAAGGCCATCTCCCATAAGGAGATTGCTGCTTCCACTGCTATACCTGTTGTGTGAAGAAGGTGGAGCCATTGAATCTGCCTTTCTCTTTTTAGCAGACACTAATACAGACTGTCTCTGGCCGGCTGGGTGATGGGAGAGAACATGTGGAAAGCAACAGATTGGGCACAACTGCACAGTACTCGTTGAGAAAAACAGTACAGTCTTAGGCATGACAATGCAGATGTAAGACCTGTCAGTCGGACTGTTAGTTTAAGCGCATGTCGATTTGCACCCCTCCTTGCATCTGTGAACTGAGCAGGAACAAACCTTCAATGCCTCTGTGACTACTTGAGCAAGACTTTTCTTTAGAGCCTCTTAAGGTACCACAAAAAAAGAACTGTAGTAAGATTGCACTGTTTGCAGTTGATTCATGGATTAAGAGGCTTTTGGCATAAAGTATTTTGAACGATAATGACAAAGATGTGAAACTAGTGTTTCTGTCCTGAGTCCTGATGATCTACATGGTGATGGACAGACACGTAGATTTGAGAATGGAGGCTCCTAGGAGACTTTGCTGTCTCAGATATTGATCTCTTTTACAACTTTAATTGCAACCAAAGCCTAATTTCTTCATCATAGTATTGATTGATTGATTAATTATTGATTTGAAAGCCTTTGTTCCCATGTGCTCAAAT